TCAACAAATATTGATTGAGGGCCTGCCTGGTGTGAGGCCCTGCTCTTAAGTCAGTCCCAGGAAGACTGCAGTTAGTGACATGGATGTAAATCCCTGCCCTCATGGAGCTTACCTTCTAGTGAGGAGAGAGAGAATAAACACTAAGAAGCAAAACGTAAGCAAGAATTGCCTCTTTAAAGTCCTTTCTCACTTGGTGTGGACCTGTCATTCATTCTGCCAGTGAATGTTTATTGAGCATAAGGAAAATGCTAGAGTAGGGGATGGGAGCCTAGGGTTCTTGTCCACAGGAGTGCACAGTGCTGGCAGGGACAGGGAAAGTGGTTAGGGAAGGGGACAGAGTAATACAAGGGGCTTAATGGCTCTATAAGAAAAGGCTGATTTCAGATTTTTTCAGGAGCACATAAAAATAGAGCAGCTCTAATTGTAAGTCAAATGCTATTAGCAGTAGCATAGCATGTAAGACTTGCAGGTATATGGAGAAATGGGTCGTAGGTGCCATACTGCTTTACAGCCGTACTGGGCTTTGTGCCCAGTGCCTGGAACACACTGGGATGCCTCTGATGTCACAGCTGACAGAGACCTCATCAATCACTGGGGCTTCCAGAGTGTCCAGAGGGTTCCAAACCACTAATAGTTTAATTAAAGAGCTTGATACATACTGAAGTACTATCCACTTGATTAAGCTATCAATCCATTTAATGAAATCACTTTAACAGCCACCAAAATAAATAAGTTAATGTCATAGCACACTCAAATTTACTTATATTTGATACAGTGTCTGGAACAGGATAGAAAGCCTAGAAATAAACCCACACACCTATGGTCAACTAAGGAGAAAAAGACACTCTCTTCAGTAAGTGGTGCTAGGAAAACTGGACAGCTGCATGTAAAAGAATGAAATTAGAACATTCTCTAACACCATACACAAAAATAAACCCAAAATGGATCAAAGACCTAAATGTAAGGCTGGACACTATAAAACTCTTAGAGGAAAACACAGGCAGAACACTCTTTGACATAAATCATAAATCACAGCAATATCTTTTTGGATCTACCTCCTAGAGTAATGAAAATTTAAAAAAATAAACAAATGAGACCAAATTAAACTTAAAAGCTTCTGCACAGCAAAGGAAACCATGAACAAAATGAAAAGACAAACCACAGAATGGGAGAAAATATTTGCAAACAAAGCAACCGACAAGGGATTAATCTCCAAAATACACAAACGGCTCATGCAACTCTATGTCAAAAAAAACCAACCCAATCAAAAAACAAGACCTAAATAGACATTCCTCCAAAGAAGACATACAGATGGCCAAAAAGCACATGAAAAGATCACTCATGTGATCACTAATTGTCAGAGAAATGCAAATCAAAACTGCAGTGACATTTCACACCAGTCAGAATGGCCATCATCAAAGTGTGTGAACAATGAATGCTGAAGAGAGTGTGGAGGAAAGGAAATCCTCCTACACGGTGTTGGTGGGAATGTAAATTCGTACAACCACTATGGAAAACAGTATGGACGTTCCTTACAAAACTAAAAATAGGACTACCATATGACCCAGCAATCCCACTCCTGGGCATATATCTGGAGAAAACCATAATTCAAAAAGATACGTGCACCCCAGTGTTCATTGCAGCACTATTTACAACAGCCAAGACATGGAAGCAACCTAAATGTTCATCAACGGACGAATGGATAAAGAAGGTGTGGTGCATATATACAATGGAATATTACTCAGCCATAAAAAAGAATGAACCTATGCCATTTGCAGCAACATGGATGGACCTAGAGATTTTCATACTAAGTGAAGTCAGACAAAGACAAATATATAATATCACTCATGTGGAATCTAATTTTAAAAAAATGATACAGATGAACTTATTTACAAAACAGAAACAGACTTACAGATATTGAAAACTTATGGTTACCAAAAGGGAAATGTGGGCAGAAGGGATAAATCAGGATCTTGGGATGAACATACACACACTACTATATGTAAGACAGACAACCAACAAGGACCTGCTGTAGAGCACGGGTACTCTACTCAATATTATGTGATAACCTGTATGAGAAGAGAATCTGAAAAGGAATGAATATATGTATATATAACTGAATCACCTTGCTGTACACCTGAAATTAACACATTGTAAATCAACTATACTCCAATAAAACTTTTAAAAAATACTTGATCCAGTGTCTTACATGTAAAATCAGAGTTTTGATTTGGATAATAGGGATACTAGCTATTAAGTTCCTAACTTTGGTCCAGCTACCATGCTAAATGCTTTATATACATGTTTTCATTTAATCCTCTTCACAACCCTATAAGATTTGATATTGTCATCTTCATTCCCATTTTAAGGATGAAATCACAGAGGTTTAAGAGAGACTGAGTAACTTGCCCAGCAGCTGACTGGGCAGGGAACCCACAGCCTGAGCCTTCCCAACTGGACTGCACTGCCAAGTTCTCTGCAGGAGAACAGGGGAGTAAGAACAAAACTCATCTGCATAACTGAGGCTTAATTCATTACTTTTCTGGAGCCTGTTTTTAAAATATTCTGGAAAACACCGTGGAATCTTCTTATTAGATGCAAGTCTGAAGTCCAAGTGAGGACCAGGAATTGTATTAGAACAGACGTGACACAATTTAGCAGCTCTCTACTGAGTATTTTAAAACTACAGATGTACCATACCAGGACTCCAAAGGTATGGTTCAAATCCTGGCTGTGTGGCTTCTAGTGAATCCCTTTATCTCTCTGGGCCTCAATTTTGGTGTCTATAAAACAGGGAGATTAAACTAGGTCAGGGGGTTCTAATTTGATTTTGACCACAGAGCTCTTTTATTCAAGCAAAATCTTACTTGGAATCTAACATATAAAACACACTAAAAGCTGAGTTTGTCAGATTGTTTTTTTTTGAGGGGGGAAGGTCCCCACAGGCCAGCTCCTTGCTCACCTCCTCAGCCCTGGAGGCCCCTCCTGGAGCCCTAGCACAGAGCACGCAGTTCCAAAAAGCACAGGTGGAAAACCACTGCCCTGAATCACCTCTCAAGATGCTGTGCGCCTCGCCACCCAGACGTGCACAGCGTCTGTCACATAGTAGGCACTTCATAAATATTTGTGAGGAAACGAATGAAATATTACTTTGCCTTTTCGGAAATGTGGATACGTAGTTTTCATTTCCTCTGCTGATTGACCCAGGTAGTTAAAGTGCTAAGATGGATCCTGGGGGAAACCAAATGTTACATTTATGGAAAAGCTGCTTTTAGATACTGAAGTGGCTTCCAAGTTCAGCGTGGCCATAAGTTAAGGGTCTGTCAGCACTTCCATTATGAAAACCACTTTGTGGTTTCATAACTTAGCCGTAAAAGTTTGCTTCAGGCTATCCCTCGGCATACAAATTGAAAACCTTGCTTTAAGCCAAAATGTGGGAATTAGAAAACAAACAATTTATTGGTTTCAGACGTAGTTTTGTACCCGTCTTAACCAAATAAGATTTATTATGTGGGCAATTAGAGGGAACTAAACCACTTGGTTCTTGAAGAATAAAAAAGGAGGAAAATAGCCAAACTATTTATATTTTAAAAGTTGTGCCTGGACATGATCAATCATTCTTTTGGGTCCTATTTTTATCAATTATTTTGTCCCCTGCATTGATGAGACCTGGAGTCTATTTACACATTCTTTTTCCTTTTTTTAAATAAACATTTTCTGTTAATGACATCAGAATGATAAAATAGCCTTGTTTTTACCAAAAAGCAAGCAACATAAATGAGAATAATGTCAAAAAAAAAAAGCTTAATCCTGCTTTTGGTAAATACTTTGAGAATGGCAAGTGGCTCATTTTAATGAACAAAAAAGACATCAGTAATGAATAAAATAGGGAAGGAGATGAGACATTATTCCTCAATGTTAGAGCTGGTTAGAGCTGAGAAGTCACCTAGTCAACTGACTTAACAGATTGGGAAACAGAGGCCTCAGCAAAGAGAGACCAGCCTGAACACATCCTGCGACTACTAACCTCAAGGATGAGAACCAGGTCTTCTACAGCCCAGTCTGGCGATCAGCTCATCCCTGTTTCCCACCCATGTAACCATTCAAGGCCTGGAGCCTACATTTTTCTGACCTACTAATGTCTAACATGACACACACACAAATGCCCCTAGTCACATAAAAATACACCTTCCCACGCACAGTGTATGAGGCACTTTGTGACTTTGGTTACCTCAATCACAAGCTATGTACCATCAGTGTCCTTGTTATAAACTTGTTTTCTGTCCTCTGGGCCAAGCACAGTTTTGAGCACCTAGAGACAGTGGGTTGGTTACTGGGTCTCGCTGATCTGACTATGGAGAGACCCAGGTTCTGGGCTTGTGAGCAGCTTAATAATACATGGCTCAGTCCTCTAGCTCAGAAATGCAACTGAACAAACCAGGTTATAATTACTGTTTATCTGCTCATGACTGAAGCGGATCATGTATTTCTGAATCTGGTCCAATGCTTGACAACACTCTGTTACAGTACTGGGGAACAGACAGATTTTGTTCAAGGTTTAGAGCCTCCCTCCTCTGTTACTAAAGCACACCATTGAAAATGTCTGCCTGCATGTCTGACTTCTCCTGCAGACTGCACTCTGGGGCAGGAACCCAATCTCATTCCTCTCTCTATCATCACTGTCTGGCACAGGGAAGGTACTCAACAGATATTTGTTGAATGAACAAATGAATGAATAAATGAAGGACCAGATGCATGCATTCGCTGATAGGGCCCATCTCTCTCTGAAGTGGCTTCCCCAGGTCTCTCCTTCTCCACCCTTTGTGCCCTGCACAATCTCCCCACTCTGCAGAAGCCAGTCAGACCCTCAGCAGCCACGATTTTTCTTTGCAGAAGTACTTTTGAGAGAAAGAATGAAATTCTGGGAATAACAGCCCAGGAAAGTATTTTCTTAAGTCAAAGGGGAATTTGAGTTGGAAAACCAGGAAATTCTTAAATACCTGGGTGGAAGATCACAGCCCACTCCAACCTCTCTGGTTTCCACTTCAGTCTTGGGCTGGGTTTCTATTAAATAGTCCAACCTGCTTTGTAGTTCATTATTCTAGAGATGAGGAAAAAAGTACTTTCAGTAAAGCAATTACGTTCCCCCACAAATACGTATGATACAATTTATATGTATTATCTGGATTTCCCCCTAGACACAGACATCTATCACAATGTATTTATTAAGCGCCTCTTACACGGTAGGAATTGAAGAAATACATTGATTGAATCCTTACAGATAGAGTGCATAGACATACATATGTATCCAATTTTACCTAAATGGAAACAAACAAAATATCCTACTCTATACCATTATTTGCTGCTTTCCCCCACTCAACAATTTGTTGTGACTCTTTCCATGTTTATTAGTTTTCTTTTTATGTCAACAAATTATTTTAATGGGTTCACAGCATTCCATTGTATGGATCTACATTATTTATTTAACTAGTCTCTTATTGATGGCATTTAGATGTTTATCACTTTTTCTGCAATTATAAATAAGGTACAGCTCATGTTTTAATACTCCCTCATTAAATATAAAATGAGTAAGTCTATTAATTTACTGGGAAATACCTCTGTAACTTAATAATTAGTATTTCATAGGTGTGGAAAATTCAGAATCTCAAACATATAAAGTAGAACAAGTTCCTTGGGATTAAAATTAGCATTCTAAATAGTTTCTTTTCAGGCCAGAGCCAAACATTACATAGGTTGATGATTAGATGCTCAGGAATTGGAAATTTGCCCCGTGGGGAAATGAAGGACAAGGGAGCAAGAGTGTTGAGGGTTTTGAAATGAAAATAGATGAAGTGTTGGACTTCCCTCATGGCACAGTGGTTAAGAATCTGCCTGCCAATGCAGGCGACACGGGTTCGAGCACTGGTCCGGGAAGGTCCCACATGCCACGGAGCAGCTAAGCCCGTGCACCACAACTAGTGAGCCTGCGCTCTAGAGCCCGCATGTCACAACTGCTGAAGCCCATGCGCCTAGAGCCCATGCTCCACAACAAGAGAAGCCACCGCAATGAGAAGCTCGCACACCGAGTGCGGCCCCCACTCGCCGCAACTAGAGAAAAGCCCGCATGCAGCAACAAAGAGCCAATGCAACCAAAAATAAGTTAATTAATTAAATTAAAAAAAATAGATGAAGTGCTGGTGCTTAAAATCCAAAGGCCAAAAAGACACATTTAAAAAAATTCAGAGATTTTTGGATTTTTTTTTAAGTTATTCTATATATTTTCTGTAATACTAGACTAAATTTTCATGAGGCAGTGACCGTAACTATCTTTCTGGCTGTATTATCAGAGCATGCGTGGTATGTAGGAGACGCAAGATAAATATTTATTGAATAAATGTATATATGCTTTTAAAATGAGCACTTTATTTGCATAACTAGAAACAAATTAAGCATTTGTCTTTTCTTTTTAAGTTGGAGCTGAAGCTAAGGCACTGTATTCCAAGACACTAGACAACACATGAAAGTTGAAAAGTTCTTTGGAAACAGAAGCTCATTTGTTTTGAAAGAGCTCCTGCTCTGAATGTCTGATACCAAGTTGCAAAGCAGCAGCTCTGGTACAAACTCATGTTCTGCAGGATGTAAAGGTCTAGGAATCCCTTCCGATAAATGGGAAACGGTATAAAGGAAGAGAATGCATTCCAGGTTCCCTAGCAGCTGACAAGCCATGACAGATCTGTGGGCTCTGCATCTGTCACCTGGTGCTCAGTATGGGAGAATGGTGCTGGCTAACTGCCAGGGGTTCCTCACCATTTACACACACACACACAGACACACACACACAGCTTCACCGAAAATATTTGAAGTCTTCCATTCATATGGAAAGAAAAAGGCAGAAGAGGCCTGCCTATTAACAAGCTTCAGCAATCCTACTGTTTTATCCTTTCTTAATGTAGACTTTAATCATGAGGATTTCTTACAATGCTGGGCTGAGTTCCTATAGTTAGGGGGCATAAAAGACAAAGTTAGCAAGCGTGCCCCAACTGGTATACAGTGAATAGTGTACTGGTAGCCCCAATTCCTTTGTTCTATTCCAGAGGGACTCTATGTGTATGCATCAGCTATCCATTGAAGCACGGATACAAAAACCTATACGCTTAAAAATGCAATACTATCAGTTAAAAACAATAAAACCCTGAGTACGTATCAGGTAGTATGTAAAATCAGGTAGGGGGAGGATGTTGGCAGTTAAAGAAATAGGTCGTGATTTGCAGCCTTTGAGGAGCTCAGTCTTTTGCAGACAGAGACACCTAAGCAGAAAATCACAGAACAAAGTCACAAGTCCCATGCCAGAGGGACCTAGAGAATATTATGGGGGTGATTCAGAGGGGATGCCTAACTCAAAATGGGGAAAAGGACTGAATTGTCTGTGAAGATTTCCTGGAATTACGCAAGGGGAAGAGAGTAAGGGAAACAAAAGGGATAAGTAATCCAGAATTATGGAAACATACCAGATTGAGAACAGGCACCTGACTGCAGTACACAGGAGGGCAGGAGTTGGTTATAAAGGACTATGTATGCCATTACCAAGACTCCACACCCAATCCTATAAGACCAAGGTCAAGATTTTATTTCAAACACTTGGGCTCTGAGTGGAAATTATACTGGAAGGAAATAAAACTATAGGCAAGGAAGATCAATCAAGGAGGTCATTACAATTTTCCAGGTAGAGTGAGAGCTGCACTTCAAGTATATAGGAGTAAGTGCTTAATGAATAGATCCTCCTTCAAAGAACAGCTATCAACCTTGGACAAAAGATAACTGCTGAGGTCTTTAAAGACTCAACAAGGATGGGCAAGTTTTAGAGGGGAGGTAAAGCTTGGAGCAAATGACAAGCACTGAATGGGTTCTTTGTGATTCATTTTTTTTTGTTTGCAGCTTTGCCCAAGGGCAGTACAGTCATGGTGCTGGCAGCACAGACACAGTAAAAATTCAACAGAAAAATCATCTTTCTGGTAGAAGAAAACCAGTAGGAGTCTACGGGATAGAAGAATAACCAGGGTTACCAAGAGTAAGGGGGAAGCCAAAAAGGAAGGGTCAGAGAAGACTGAAATTCTGAATTCTGTATATAAACTCAGTTCGAGTCTCTGGGAGACCCCTGAACCACGTATGTGTGGGGCAAAGTAAAAGAAGTATGCAGCCAAGGCTTAAAGAACTGAACTGAGATCTAAGCCATCACCCACTACATTATGGCAGGGTGCAATTGAGTCTAACCAGATTCTTTACCTTTTAAAACAATCACAAGCCTATTTTCCTTTATATCACTGATGAAGGAGTAAAAAAAAAAAAAAAAAAACCAGAAAGAAATAGAAAATATAAATAGAAAACAAATGGTAACTTTAGAACAGAAAAATACAATGCTTGAAATTTAAAAATCACTAGATTGCCTTAAAAAAAGAATGGATATGACAAAGGAAGGAGTCAGTAGTAAACTTGAGGACACAGAGACACATTAATAGAAATCAATCAAAATAAGATAAAGAAAATGTTGAAAATAATAAATGGAACTTCATAGAACTGTGGGACAATTTCTAAAAGCCTAACATAGAGATACTGGAATCACAGAAGGAAAGAAGGGAGAAACTTGAGAAAAAAATATTCAAAGAAATAATGGCTAGGAAAAAAGAAAAAAAGAAAAGCACTTACTGGTTTTCCAGATACTTTTTGTGGGGGGGCGGGGGGGAGAAAAGAAATAATGCCTGAAATTTTCCCATATTTGGTGAAAGACATAAGTATACAAATTCAAGAATCTCAGCAAACCCAGACAGAATAAATTCAAAGAGAAGCATACCTTGGCAAATCAGAGTCAAACTACTGAAAAACACAAAGAAAAACCTTGAAAGCCATCCTGTTACATATAGGGGAACGATAATTTAAATTACCAAAAGTTGCTCATCAAAAACTACAAAAGCCAAAAGGGAGTGAGTACTAAAAGAAAGAAACTGTCAAACTAGAACTCTATATATTTTAGTAATGAAGGTGAACTAGAGGCCTTACTTTAAAATAAGAAAAACTAAGTGGATTTGTCCCCAGCTGGCCTGCTCTATACAAAATGCTAAATAAAAGTTCTTCGGGCTGAAGAGAGATGATACTGGAAAGAAACTCAGATTTTCAGAAACGAGTAAAGAACATCAGAAATAAATACTATATGAGTAAACATAAAAGATGATTATTTTCTCTTAATTTCTCTAAAATACCTATGACTGTTAAAAACTATAACAATGTACTGTGGGTTTATAATATATATAAGATACAATACATGAGATAACTCTAACAGCAGGGGAAGGGGTACATGGACCTTATCATTGCAAGACTTCTACATTTTTCATGAAATGGTACAATATTACCTCTAAGTGAACTGTGAACACATAATGAAGTATATTGTAGTACCTCCTAGAGCAACCACTAAAATATTAAAGACACAGAAAATGCCAATAGATAAATTAAAATAGAATTCTAAAAAATACTGGAATAATCCAGAAGAATGCAAGAGAGGGGAACAAGACAAAACAAACCAGAGGGACTAAATAGAAAACAAATAATAGGGACTTCCCTTGTGGCACAGTGGTTAAGAATCCACCTGCCAATGCAGGGGACACGGGTTCGAGCCCTGGTCCAGGAAGATCCCACATGCCGCAGAGCAACTAAGCCCGTGCACCACAACTACTGAGCCTGCGCTCTAGAGCCTGCGAGCCACAACTACTGAAGCTTGTGTGCCTAGAGCCCGTGCTCCGCAACAAGAGAAGCCATCGCACAGCAACAAAGACCCAACGCAGCCAAAAATAAAATAATAAAATGAAATAAAATAAAAAGTAATCAAATAATAATAAAATGGCAGACCTAAATAAATTGAGCCATATCAATAATAATTGTCAATGGACAGTATACTTCAGTATAAGACAGAATATCAGAATATATTAAAAAAACCAACATCTAACTATATATTGTCGATAGGAGATGTATTGAATATTAACCTTAAATAGAGAGACACAGATCAGTTAAAAATAAGTGGATGGAAAAAGATATACCATACAAACAGTAAAC